GTCAGTGCGGCTTCCGTGGAGTTGAGGTCCCAGATTTATCCTGCTGCGGTTCTTTTGTCTTGGGGTTCGTCTGGAAGCGGGTGTGGGGGGGGGTTGGGGGGAGATCGTCGTGTTGACACAAAATCTTAATCTCTGTATACCAACCTAGGCCTGAGCTATGTATACATACCTAATCCACATTTTATGTTGCTAATAATAGAATCCTCGTGACCTGACCTTGAACCTTTGGCCCCGTTCGTTTACGTATAAATTTAGTATTAAATAAATAAGAATATGTAAACCGCATAAGTGGAGGATCAAAAACGAAAATTTCACCTTAACAAGTGAAAATTTCACCTTTACAAGTGAAGTTCCCTTTCGAACCTGTCCACCCACCAGGGCAGGTGTAGTAGAGTTAAACATATTTCTGTGACCTCGGTATATGAAGGGAAATTGTGGTCAACATTATGCCCAGTCGCCTTTACTTTCAGATACCCATCAGGGGTGGGAGGACCCAGGGGCGTGCTACTAATCTAGCCAGGGAACCGATCTCGAGACTTCCGGGTTAGCAGTCGAACGCTCTACCATTCGGCCACGCCGTTCCATCATTTTTATGAAGAATGTTATAAATCCTACAAAAATATACCATATACGTAAATATAGTGTTTATTTTGCGGATGAATACATACCAAAAAAAGAAAAAATGTAGTTTTTGGTTCTGCTTAATGTACAACTTTCCAATGTGAGATTATATAAAACTGAATATCTCACTCATCTTCATCTTTCTTAAGGGTATTGTATAGCTAATAACATACGTATAGATTCCGTACTTCGCGGAAATTCCCCTTTCGCGACTTGACGTGGGACTAAACACCCGCTATAGGTGAGGGAACAGTATACACTGATTTGGTTGGGTTTTTTTTTTCCGTGACTCACATAGAGGACAGTTTGACGAACTCGCTGAGGTTTTGGGGAGCTTCAGTCAGTTTCTTTCAGGCATCTCTTCGGGGGGGGGGGGGGGCATAGCCCCCCCCCCCCCTGAAATTTTTTTTTACCGCCCCTCCCCCCCCCCCCCGAACGGAATGAAATTTATATAATTTATATAGAAAATATATACTTTTAACAGTGTCCGCCCCCCCCCCGAAGAAAGTTTACCACCCCCCCCCCGAAAATTTCAAGTGCCCCCCCCCCCCCCCCGGAGAAAAAAGTCTGGAAGAAACACTGGCTTCAGTCAGCGACATATGCTCAAATGGTGCGCTATGGTAAATACTACACTCTTTCGTATTGGCTGTGTTGATGGTTTTACCAAAATGTTTTGATGGTTTTACCACAGTATTGGATGGTTTTACCAAAATGTTTAGATGGTTTTATCATAGTATTTTAATGGTTTTACTATAATGCTAGACAATTTTTATGGATTTACCAACTAAGCCCACGGGCCACACCAGACCCTAAACATCTCAACCCCGACCTAAATCTAAATCTAATCGGGAAATTAATCTAAATCTTATCATATGATATATCTAAGCCTACATCTAAACCTAACCCCCAGAGCATGCCATTGACTTATCCATACCTCTAGCCATAACTCTAACGCAGAGAGTAGCCTTATAATTTAACCTTAATCCTAATTATCATACTCATTTATTCAGCTTTTATATGCACTGTTCTATATAATACTGTTGGGCGGGGTATCACAGATGTGTCTTTATATTGTGGTATCACCCCCCCCCCCCCCACACACACACACGTACATTCGCCTTGAAGGCTGGTGATTGTTTAAAATCGATCAAATCCAAACTTAGTATTAACAGCGCCCCTGATCGCCAGACGCCATTTTGTTGACTTTCCATTTCCGTTTCTTGCACCTAAGCCCCTTTCTTTGATACTCAACAATCTTGTCCTGTATTTCAAACTCCTTTTTTTTTCAATTTGTTTTTATCTTTTTTTTTTCTCTCTATTTTTTCTCTATTTCTCTCTATATGATCTTTTATTCTCTATTAATCTTTTTACTTTCTCGTATCTAGGGTATAGAGGAAGTATTGTAGTCGTGCAAAAAAAAATTGAAAAAATCGAGATTTTCAAAAATCTCGACGTTCTACAACTCCCTGAGTCGGAAAAATTTCGAGTTGCAATCTTGTCTGTCTGTCTGTCTGTCTGTCTGTCTGTCTGTCTGTCTGTCTGTCTGTCTGTCTGTCCGTCTGTCCGTCTGTCCGTCTGTCTGTCTGTCTGTCTGTCTGTCAGCCTGTCCGTCTGTCTGTCTGTCTGTCTGTCTGTTTGTCTGTCACCAACCCGCCTAAACCCTAAGCGTCACATATCGAGATCCAATCACCAACCCGGACGTATCAAAAGTTGGATTTTAATTGAACGCAAGTAACTACAGACCCTCTCCCCCCCCCCCCCAACCGTCCACCAACCAGACCAACTGCTTACGTACAATAACGGCTATTGAACGTGACGTTGTTCGGGGGTGCACTACTCCTCCACCCCCGAAAACCCTTATATCCCGATTACTGCGGGGAGTGAGGCGAAAATCGGCCCATACAAAAAGAGATAAATGACGAAATTGGAAAAAGATTGTCGGCGCGTTTAGGAGAGCCATTGCGGGGTCTTAATAGGGGTGGGGGGGTGGGGGGGGGGGGGGGGATAGGGGGAGGGAGGGGAGTCAGGGCTAGTTAATAGAAAGATGCAGAGATTAAGATAAGGGGTGGAACTCGTTGATGTAGGGGGTGGGGGAGGATGGAGCTCAAGGGAATTCGGGAATCAGAAAGTACAACTACAGATAACGACCCCGAACTGAAATGATTGCAGAATTTATAATCATCCTATCGTTTATTCCAATATTGTACATGTTTTCCCCTCTCTATCTATATACTTTATATATATATATATATATATATATATATATATATATATATATATATATATATATATATATATATATATATATATATATATATATAAAACCTTTTTTATTCAATAACATTTTTAAAAAATCAAACCCGAGCGATGAATGGTGATTTGACATATCGACTTCATCCTCCCCCCCCCCCCCCCCCCCCCACCCTCTCTTCTCGCATTCTCTTTTCTTTCGTTCCAACTGTGTTTCTGTTTTTTTTACACGATTTTATTTAAGTTAAATTAGAAAAAAAACAAAACAAAAGCAACTAAATTAACACCTCTTAACTTTTATTTGGAACGTTATACGTAAAAATAATGTAAATAGTTTCGTAACAAATGTAAAAAAAAAAAATACTGCAGCAAAATACTTTTCACCGGATTAAAGGGGGGCAACTCCCAAATAAATAAAATATATTTTCCCCCATACTTTGTATGTATCTGAGGTATATTTTTGTAAAAAAAAAACATTCACATTTCATCATACAATTTCATAGGTTGTCAATTCTGTCTTTGGCCAGTTGTCGGCTTGTCGCCAATATATCCCCTGTTAACTCTAACAGCTGCCTATGGGACGGCGTGGTCGGAATGTAGAGCATAACCGCTAGCTTTCGAGTTCGGATCCAGGGCTCGGGTCTGTAGGATGTCCCGGAGTCCTTCATAAATTCAACTACATCGGTGATTTAGGGTAGAGCATTCCACAGCTAGTCTAAACTCACCGGGTTCAGTACCCTTGTATGAACTTTAATGACTTTAATAATTGGAATCTCAGTCTAGTACAATGTAGTTACGTACCGACCTAACCATCACCCTCGCTATCTGATGTCGGTTAAACAGATGAACTCTACTGCATCAGGATACTTATTTAAGCTTCATCGACGCTGAAGTGATGATACAAAAATAAAGTTAACTGCACGGGTAAAAAGGAAATCATGTAACCTTCAAAGGAAAACATCTAGGAAATGTGGGGGGGGGGGGGGGGGGGGGGTTGTTGGTCACTACTTATGTGTGATGTACTCATTGATGGGAGGTTGTTTCTCACTAATTGTATGATGTAGTCTTTGATGGGGGGAAGGCTGTGTAGACTAGTGTAGTGTATAATCAACACAAAAGTAATGTTTGGTGAATATATGAATGTAATGCAGACTAGACTATTGTAGTGTAGATTTAACATAAAAGTAGCATAAAAGTAATGTTGCCTTACTGTATGAATGTAGTGTGGATTTCACCCTAAAAAATAATAACGTTTGTATAATAAGGATAACGTGAAATGATGTTAGTGAAAACAAGCATTTTACAAGTACATGGATGCAAAGTAGATAAAAACATATAAGTAGATACAATTTAGTAAATACAGTTGTTTTGTAAGACCTCGGGGTCTTAATGATGAGGACTATAAAGTCTATACTAAATATTTGACATGAAGAAAATTGTCACATATTAACTTGAATTTATACACGTACTTTAACCTAAAATAAAATTGTTAAAAAAATCTTTGTGACGTAAACATTTCATGCAAGTATTCATGGCATGGAGATGATTAGGGCTGTAGAAGTATGGCGCTGAATTCTTCAAATAATTCATGGATGTAAACATGTTTATGGACATTTTAAGAATAATTAATATTGATTATTTTAGCACATATATCATTAAAAAATAAATGAGTAAAATTATACACACCACACATAATAAAAAATTAGCATAACAAAAGATAATAAAAAACAAGACAAAATTTCTGAAAGATATTTTTAAAAAGGGTGAAAGATGTTAAACATAATTTAACACATTTGAAAACATTAAACGAAATCTAAGTAATTTAACTAAATTATTAAACTCTACGGTTTTGAATAAACTAACTTAGTACAGTTATATTAGTAAATTTGAATTAATCTAGCTGCGTTGGTAAATAAAGGGTATATTATTAACAACTTAAATGCAATCAAACACATGCATATATTTTAAAAAAATGTACACATGATCAAACAATTTACACATAATCAAACAATTTACACATAATTAAACAATTTACACATGATCAAACAATTTATACCTAATTAAACAATTTACACATAATTAAACAATTTACACATAATTAAACAATTTACACACAAACAATTTACATTTAATAAAACACCTTATACATAATTGAAAATTGTACATACGATTAAACAATTGACACACAATAAAACTGGCTGGAGTTTTAACTAACACCAAAGATTACCCAAATTAGTCTCCCTGTCCTAAATACCAGGGCGACTTCCCTTTATCAGAACATCAGGCATTACGCGCACATCAGCGTGCGCACATCAACATGCGCAGTGAAACTTCTTCCGACTGTCGTCACTTGCCAGTGCGGCCTTCTCGGCCAAATGCTGCTGTACCTGGTAGGGTAGAATATCCACCGTCACGGAGGGCAGACGTGAGGCGTGGATGATGATCTTATCCAGCAAGCTGAAGACGACCTCCACGGCGTTAGATCGTCTGGCGAGGGTGACCTCATGGAACTGGACCTCAAGCTGGCTCGCCAAGCGCTCGGCCTGTTCGGGGGTGACCTGCGTCAGTGTCAGTAAAGTTTCAGTATGTTACTAGGTGGCATTGTCAGTATATTGATCTAGTGGGTATTTAAGTGTGAGTGTTTTTATTTTAGGTAATGTAGAAGGTTTAAATTGTTAGTGTCAGTGATTTACTAGGTGGAATTGTCAGTATATTGATCTAGTGGGTATTTAATTGTGAGTGTTTTTATTTTAGGTTAGTGTAATGTAGTAGGTTTAAATTGAATCTGAAATGTCTAACGCTCTTTAATTATATTGTTTAACCTACTAGTGAATAATACAAGTTTCAAATCAAGGTAAGCTACTCTAGTCAACACTGATTAAATTAAAATGTTAAGTTGCTTCCCCTTGTTTTGACAGTATTTTTTTAAATTTCAGGGTAGGTATTAGTTTCTTTAAGGTTGAAAATCATAGTAATCAACAACTTAATGAATAAACACAGAGGCGTGGTCATAGTGGTAGGTCTAGTATTATGTATAAGAAACTTTGTGACCCCACCCATGATGAGGAGAGGGCATCACCCAGGAACTTAAGGGGCACCAACCAGGACTTAAGGGGCACCACCCAAGAACGGAGGGGGCACCACCTAAGATGGGAAGCCATTACACCAATCTATCTAAAACAATAACACTGTCATTTGAGGGGAAAAACCGCGAGTTACCACACCGGGTGTCACCCTCCGTAGTTACCGCCCACCGCCCCCGCCTCCTCTCCACTAAACAAAACATCACTTGCCTGTCGTTTGGTCGACTGGGTGTTGATCCCCAGCAGGAAGATGGACATGGGCTGCTTGCATGTGTACATGTCCAGATCGTTGTGCCAGTTCTGGACGTGTCTGAACGTGTCCACCTTCTCGGCGTCAAACATTAGAAAGCACCCCAAAGCACCGCGGTAGAACGATGCGGTTATGCTGCGAAATCTTTCTTGTCCTGTTGTTTGATTAGTGATAGTTATATAAATAATATATATAAATTAAAAAATTATATATATATATATTATATATATATATACATACATATATACATTCGGGCAAGTGTCCATTCGGGCACTTGTACCATTCGAGCAAGTGTCCATTTGGGCATTTGTCGCATTCGGACAGGTGTCCATTCGGGAAATTGGCCTTCAGACAAACGGCATTCGGGCAAGTGTCTTTCGGGAAAACGTCCGGCTCCCTATATATATATATATATATATATATATATATATATATATATATATATATATATATATATATATATATATATATATATATATATATATATATATATATATAGTTTATTAATAGATTTAAAGAAAAAACCCGGCTTTACATTTAAATGCAGTAAAATATTTGTGATTTAATCAATTTCAGTACCGCTTTGTGTTCCTATACGCTGTTCCTATGTTTGGTTCTTAGCTATACCCAACAACTCGTGTACGGATAAGGAAAGGTTCATCTATAAGCATTAGGTGCATAGTGTCAGCTGGCTTATTAGTTGATAAGTTATTAAACTTGAGAAGTTACGAGTTAAACTATAGTTAAAACTAGTGTTTGTTTCAGGGGGTGGCAATATCTTTAAGTCTATTGACTTATATTACAGAATGGCTTATGTACTTGTACCAGTTTCTTAATTAATAAGGCGATTTTCTACTCTAAATTAAATTATTGTATTCCACAACTTTAAAGTTAATTCAATAAACGAGCTACAGTTGCGAGGTTGTGTTTTGATGTTGTCAAAGTTGGGTTAAGTTAAATTAAGTTGTCAACAATGGGCTAAAGCACATGTGTAATACACGTCTTTAATATATGTCAACAATGGGTTATAACACATGTGTAACAACCTTCCTTGAATGTGTCTCAACAATGGGTTTTGATATTATACAATGAAGGGAGACGAGACCTCTATGGCGACCCCATCATAGTACTAACCCTCACAATGACGATCCCATCATAGTACTAACCTCACAATGACGATCCCTTCATAGTACTGACCCTCACAATCGCGATCCCATCATAGTACTAACCTCACAATGACGATCCCTTCATAGTACTGACCCTCACAATCGCGATCCCATCATAGTACTGACCCTCACAATCGCGATCCCATCATAGTACTAACCTCACAATGACGATCCCATCATAGTACTAACCTCACAATGACGATCCCATCATAGTACTAACTCTCACAATCGCGATCCCATCATAGTACTAACCCTCACAATTACGAACCCATCATAGTACTAACCCTCACAATCGCGATCCCATCATAGTACTAACCCTCACAATCGCGATCCCATCATAGTACTAACCCTCACAATCGCGATCCCATCATAGTACTAACCCTCACAATCGCGATCCCACTATAGTACTAACCCTCACAATCGCGATCCCATCATAGTACTAACCCTCACAATCGCGATCCCATCATAGTACTAACCCTCACAATCGCGATCCCATCATAGTACTAACCCTCACAATGACGACCCCGTCATAAAATCGACCCCTAACATGAAAACAGGTGACCCACTCCTGTTAAGAAAGTGGTCCCTTTTACCGTCATTTCCCAATCACATGACTCATAGTATAACGTTAGAAAAATGCGTCTCTCTCAAGCAACATTTCTACGTCAAAAGAAACCACGTCTTTAAAACTGTAAAGGAACCCAATATATTAGCCTCACCACACCTGATAATATTTTTTCACTAAACTTTTGTTCGCCTTTGTGCATGACGAACATATTCAAAATATGGTCCCATCATTAGAAATCTATTTCAACTTAATCATGCACGTCAAAGTGTTTGGCCTGATGGTAAAATTTAAGGGTGTTGAGAAATTAGTACGGTCTGACTCATCGTTTTGAATATGGACTACGTGCTTAAGGCCAGCGTTTGTAATTAGTTCCATACGTGTACACCAGGGTCACTGAGTGTGTTGAACCAGGGTCGGAGATGTACAGGGACTTTACAGGGGCATGACAATGTGGGTCACTCAAGCACAAAAGTTCAGAGACCTTGGTGTGGTGGGGGTGGAGGTGGAGTGGGGGGGGGGGTGTCAGTTAATAATCATCGTTGATACAAGAAAGAGAAATCACTTGAATTATTTTGTTGTAAAAAGAAATAAAACATAAAGAATATTCATTTTAAGATAATTGTCGAAGAAAGTATATATATATATATATATATATATATATATATATATATATATATATATATATATATATACATATATATATATATATATATATATATATATATATATATATATATATATATATATATATGCGTGTGTGTGTGTGTATGTGTCTTAAGCAAATATTTTTTATATCAACAACATTATAATAATGTTATAATATTTTAAAAAATGTTAGATACACTGAGGCCTGCGGTGGAATGTGTGACGTTGTGTCCGGTACTTGTATAATAACACACTTTGTTTTTTTTTACTATGCATTCACAAAGTATTTCAACCGTTATAACACACACACCCTTAATTCAACCGTTATAACACGTAATATAAAATACAAACTAAACACTTCTACACAGTAGCTGTAGAAACAAAAATTTATATCACACTAGTTATAACAAACAACTCTAAAAACGAAGAAATTATTGAATGTAAACATGCCTACCTCCTGTGTCGACGATTTTTGCCAGGATCCTTTTCCCCCCACGGGCCATGGCCAACTCAACATGGCCGTTGGGCCTGTAGTCGACACATCTGCATTCCTTCGACTCCTGTTGCTGTGCAAGCGAGTTCAGAAGCGAGCTCTTCCCAACGCTGGGATCCCCGAGTAAAATAATTTTAACAGTATAATCAAACCTGGTCGGTACGGCCATGCCAGCAGTTTAAAAAACGTGACTACTTGCAGTGTCGTTGATAAGAATTAGCTACACTTAAATTGTGACACAGTTGATGTATTGACATAGGAGAAAAAAAGGAATTTCTATTGTTTGCGTTGCGAAAGCTTAACCTGTAGTATTGGTTTTTTTATGTAAGCCAAATGAGAAATGATTATTTTTTTCTTCTTACTTTTCAATTTAGTAATTTTGAAAATAATTCAAATCAGATGAAAGAACACCTAAAAATTGTCTATGTGTATGTAATAAGTATACACTGCAAATCATGGTTGACAAATGTTGTTTTTTTTACTATTTAGTATGTCTTGGTACACAGGCAGATTTTTCTCTAGCGATGCCCGGACTGTTGAGATTATATTTGATTCGGAATCGGATAAAATCACTGCTCCTTTTTTTTTAAAATGATGACTTTATAATTCTCTTTTATCTTGTTTAATCGTAACATATAGATTCAAATAAACCAAAAACACTGTTGAAAACGTCATATAGAGTTTGCAACTTTCCTCGCTATGTGTTTGTGTGTGTGGTGGGGGGGGTGCGGAAATTTTGAACTGGTGTAAGTAACTCTGCGTAATAATCCTCACTGAGGACAGCAGCAGCGAATTCGGTAACCGGTTTTTGTAATAGTGTGTTGTCTTTAGAGGAAAACTTCCATTCCTGTTAATAGAAATAAAAAACCCAGATTAGCCTTTAAGGAGAAAAGGAAATATTGTCAGCTTCTCTTTCTTCTTCGTTCCTAATCGTAATTTTGGACGAAATTTGCTCTAATACAATTAAGAAACTACATGTTGAATATGTTAGGCGCCTAATAGGCCGTTGATTCCGATTTTTCAGCCTGCTTTTCTTTTTGGATGTTTAAATAAGCCATGTTTGATTGATACTAATAAGCTTTAAAATAACATGCACTTAAATAAAATACAATCTCAAGTGTTTTTTAGAACCTATTGGTAAAAAATCCTCATACATATATATATATATATATATATATATATATATATATATATATATATATATATATATATATATATATATATATATATATATATATATATATATATATATATATATATATATATATATACTAAATAGCAAAGCGGCAGAAATATATTTTAGACTTTGAAAATACAGTTTATTTCTGAAGAAAATCTACACTTTGTGTTACAATGATTGAGCTACAAAAAATGTCTTACTAAGCTATATACTTACACTAGACACAAAATGTTGTATTGTCGTAGAGAAAATGTACAAAGCAAGCCAGAATGTTGTACACCTGCCGTGATAGCTCCTTGCCGGCAGTTGCTAGTGTCACAGAGAATCTTCTCGCACTTTATCTGTCTAGGCGTTGCTAATTTGTTTTTGATTGTAAAAGCTAAATTAAGTGGAGCAGGTCGCAGCAAGCACTATGTGTTCGGTGGGCCAAGGACGAACTATCAGCTGTGTGTCTAGCAGAACAAGTAGTAGATGTACGTCAGTTGTATGTCAGTTGTATGTCAGCTGTATGTCAGTTGTATCTCAACTGTGTGTCTAGAAGAGCAAGGACAAGCTGCCTGTCAGCTGTGTGTCCAGTAGGTCAAGGTCAAGCTGTGTGTCAGCTGTGTGCTGGCGTAACTCAGTTAAGGTTTCATGGGCGCTGAGTCCACTCAGCTATATCGGGTACCTGATTAAGTGTGGGGATATTAAAGACGGCTGGCCTTACGCTGATCACATTATCCCTTCCTAAGCCCAGGTAAAATTAAATTGGATGAATTCTAATTCACATGTCTCATTCATATCTCTTAGACAGTCTGATCTGAAACGGATTTTTTTTACCCAGACAGTTCAATTATGCTAACCCGAAACCTGACTGGGTATTTTATTATTTTTTAAAGGTGATTATTGGCAGGGGCGTAGCGAGGGGGGGGGGGGCGGGGGTGCGGACCGCACCGGGTGACACCATTCAGGGGGGTGACACCAAGGCAAAAAATAGCAAAATATATAGAGAAAAACTTGAGAGGGGGAGGGTGCAAATCGAAAGTTTGATGGGGGGGGTGCAAGTCGAAAACTTGAAAGTTTGTCCCCGGGAAGGGTCGCTACGCCTCTGGGGGGTGACACCATTAAGTGCCGCACCGGGTGACATCCGACCTCGCTACTGATTATTGGTAATGTACTGCAACCAATCAATTGGTTGGTTTTTTTTTTACATTTTAGAATAAAAATAACTACATCTGATAAAAAAACGAAATGAAAAAAGTTTTTTTCAGATTTTTATTTAAACAATATTATTACACTTTCAAAATAAACGGTAAATTATTTTTTAAAAAAAAGACTTTTATTATTCCTCTGGCTTTTTATGTTTTTCGCCAACCTGTAAAATAAAATAAAATTCTAGTATCGATAAATTAAATTAGTCTCCCGAGCTGAAACAGAGGTAAAGACACAAATGATCGTACGTACATTAGATCAGTGTGGTGGCCAAAGCGAGAGGCAACAACAGCATCCAACCCGACACGAGTAAGCTTGACGCATCTGAAAGGTTTAATCAACTAGTAAAGATTGCCTGCATTTAATTCAGTCTTATCTTAGAAGAAAGAAATTTTGTATATGCCTATATAGTTAAATTTATAGTTATTAATGCAATCGACTGTAATGCAGTTTACATGTAGCATTGCTTCCTTAGCATTTAACCACTCAAGAACTATCTGCGAGGCAGTTGTTTGCTTGTGGAGTTGTCTCTCCTTGAAGAGTGGCTGTCCCCAACTATCGAGCCTATTCAGCCTGAAGGTTCGAACTCGGGAATTATCGGTTTAGTAACCATAAGCTTTCCGCCCCGGCCATTCGAAATTCATAACCAATTCTTAAGCAAGCGGAATAGATTATAAAATCGTATAGTAATAAATTTGTAGTTAATCTGATAAAAGAATAATTTTTCATTTATAACAATTATGCTCCCTTTTTGCTTGTCACTAGACAGGCAGGGTTGCTAGTCTAAGGTCACTATCACTATGTTTAATAAGAAAACAGAAAAAAAAGAATTATTCAAGAACTAATGCTTGGTATTAGCCGGGTTACACAAGAGAAACACGAATGATATTCTTTAATACGACGAGAAAACAGCAAAATAACGATACATATTAAAACTGATAATTATAACTAAAAATCATTAACATAAAAAAAATTAATTGACTATAAACTTTTCTGCCAACCCCCAAGACTCATGTACAGTGTTTCTTCCAGACTTTTTTCTCCGGGGGGGGGGGGGGGGGGGGGGGGGGGGGCACTTGAAATTTTCGGGGGGGGGGTAGACTTTCTTCGGGGGGGGGGGCGGACACTGCTAAAAGTATATATTTTCTATATAAATTTCATTTCGTTTGGAGGGGGGTTGTAGACTTTCTTCAGGGAAGGGGGGGGGGCTCCACCCCTCCCGAAGAGATGCCTGAAAGAAACTGCTCATGTAGATTAATAAAACACTAGTGAGATTAAAATCTACCTGCTGGAACAAGTGCCAGTTGTTCGATCAATGCAGTCTTGACCACATTTGGTCAGACAGGACTTGGAACAGTTGACGCCGTAGGTCATAATTGGACAGTCTATAGAGAGGTTTGATTTCTTATTGGACAGTCTATAGAGAGAGGTTTGATTTCTTATTGGACAGTCTATAGAGAGAGGTTTTATTTCTTATTAGTGCGATTTTTTTATATATTTTTTTTTTTGCTTTGGAACATTTTGGGCGGCTAGAACTAATACATATATATAATCTTTGAAGAGCAGATATTTTTAAACAAATCTAAAAATCATGTACCATAGAGTAGGCCTGACAAAAAACTTTAAGAAATATAAACTAAAATCATTAGTGTGAATTTTAAGACTTCATTAACTGGTTTTAATAATAATCGTTGATCTTTTATTCTGACAGCCGAAGAGGATCTACACAACACATACTTTGAGGCCGTCAATTTAACCAACGTGTGACCGACATTTGATATTTTGATTTTATAAATTAAGGTGAGACAGTGGCGTAGCCAGGAATTGGTCATGGGAGGGGTTTAAAAATGTTACCATGTGTTTACAATCCTATATATATATATATATATATATAATATATATATATATATATATATATATATATATATAGGGGTCCATGGGAGGGGTTATAACCCCCTCTAACCCCCCCCCCCTTGCTACGCCACTGAGGTGAGAATGTTAAACTTAAATGTAAGAATGTTATTAGTTATAAGGCCAGAATGTGAAACCTTGACTTTATATAAAGTTGATTATGTGATACTTAGACATTATATCAAGACAACAATGTGATACTATGACAGGGTCCCTGTTACCTTTGACACTTTGCCATTTTTTCGCACATTTACAATACATTTTCTATACGTTGTATACGAGAATGAAGCAAGAATCCTAATTTTATAACATGATAACGACAATGAAGAAAACTATAAACTAGCAAACTAAAATTTAAACCTCGAAAAGATTAGTTGACAACAGGATAGCTAATAAGTATAAATTACTAACAACGAATGTGCCAACACCAGGACACCTTTACTAAAAACGAATGTGCCAACACCCGGACACCTGTACTAAAAAACGAATGTGCCAACACCCGGACACCTGTACTAAAAACGAATGTGCCAACCCCAGGACACCTGTACTAAAAAACGAATGTGCCAACACCGGACACCTGTACTAACAACGAATGTGCCAACACCCGGACACCTGTACTAACAACGAATGTGCCAACACCCGGACACCTGTACTAACAACGAATGTGCCAACACCCGGACACCTGTACTAACAACGAATGTGCCAACACCAGGACACCTGTACTAAAAACGAATGTGCCAACACCAGGACACCTGTACTAAAAACGAATGTGCCAACACCATGAGGACACCTGTATATTAATAAAACACACAGGAGCTTAAAATCTACCTGCTGGACAAGTGCCAGTTGTTCGATCAATGCAGTCTTGACCACATTTGGTCAGACAGGACTTGGAACAGTTGACGCCGTAGGTCATAACTGGACAGTCTATAGAGAGGTTTGATTTCTTA